AAAATTTGAATTGGTTTGGGGTTTAGAGAGCTGATCATGAGTTCTTTTTACACGCTGACTGAGCATTATGCGGTACGCACCGCTTCAAGCTAAATGTGAGAAAGACCTGGCCCGTGCGGGGGGGGGGGGTTCTTGGGGGTTACATTTTGCTGGGTGTGTGCCGCTGGCTTTTTACAACCCCTACCACCTTTCTGTTGAAAATGCAACCCCAATCAACCCAGCCGTGAATATGCGACTCCTTTTGGCGGCACATTTCATTAGCCTATTACCGGAATGTGCCCCCTCCTCATCCACGGAGGATGGAAAATTTCTCCATGGGAAGAGAGCTAGCCCGTTAAATTTATGGTTTTTAAAAGTTTCAAGGGACGAAGACCAAAAGAGAGGTTTATTGAGTGCCTAAACTCGCCAGGCAGGCTTTATCTTTTATGCTGATTTGCAAACCTATTTTAAACACACCGCTGTTCAAGGGACCCTAATTTTTATTTTGCTGCCGGAACCCATTTCCAGTCTTTCCCGGTATTCTGCTTAAGCGGAAGTGCCTTGTGGTAATTTGGTTGCTTCGTTTGCTTTCCGTCAATCTCTGTGCATAAGAGTAGGCGATTCTGTCTTCTTCATCCTCTCGACTTCCTTTCTGAAGAAACCAAACGACTCCATGACAGACAAAGAGATGTACTTCGCTTTCGGTTCGAACATGAACCCAGACCGTATGCGGGATCGTAAAGCCTTCTTCACCGCTCGAGTTGGAGCTAAATTGCTCGACTACAAGATGACTTTCTCTTTTAGGAGACCGGATGGGGGTGGCTCTTGTAACATTAGACCAGAGAAAGATTCAGTGGTTCATGGAGTTTTGTACACTCTTGACGCGGGAGGGTTAGATAAACTGGATGTTTTTGAAAAAGTCTCAGATGGATGGTATCGTCGAGAACGAGTGACAGTTGAGAATTCTGCGGGCGAAAAAGTGAACGCGACAACTTATATTGTAACAGAGCAGTTTTATCAAGAGGGATTAGTTCCATACAGAGATTACTTAGAACATTGCTTGGCTGGCAAGGATGTTTTGCCGGCAGAATACTACAATTTCTTAGAATCGTTTAAGAAAGTCTGCAAGGAATAACAACATGGAACACTAGAAATTGGGACCCTGATAGCGTTTTCACCTTTTAACTTATTCTTGTGAAATGAAATTTGTGTTTCATAGACTGCGGGGGATGTTTTGATGTTAAGAATACGATTTTTATTGAAATGAAATAAGGTAGGAAAGGAAGAAAATTATTTTATCTCTGGTCTCCATCATTGCCGTGGAAGACCTTTGTTTATATTTTTATGTCAATTATTCATTTTGCCTTTGATAGCAGTGAAGCAGGTGGTTGGCATGGGTTGGGTTCAAAAACGATGGGTTTGAGAAAACATCACATTTTTTGTTATTAGGGTTGGATAAAATAAAGTTTCCTTTTTTCCGTCATGAATGCAGGGTATTTAAGATAATTCCTTTAGTGTCACATGAATGATCAGGATATTTTAAGGGTTTGATAGATCACAAAACATTGTATAACCACCTTGCTACATTTGGAAATACTTACGGTGTTGTTTCCTGTTCAAATTATCCAACAGCAATTCATCTTACAATGAATTTGAAAACTATCAAGAATTGTTCCTTAGTTAAAACTTTTTATTTCTAGTCAGCTTTAAATGTGTCAAATGAACATTTTAAAGCAAATTTGATTGCATGTATCATTATAACTCAGTGGAAGAGGTGACTGATTATGAAAGCTGGCAAAAAATACCATAAGGAAGCAGTGTTGCTGCTGTGTATGTTGGGATCTCTGTGACTGTCCACAAAATTGCATTTTTTTATCATTTTCAATGATTGAATAATATGGAATTTTATTTTGGTCATATAGTTCAATGCAAATGGAGTAATTTTGAACAATAAGCATGGTCAGGTTTGATAAGATCCTCACAATAACATACTTACCCTCAGAAGTGATTAACATGTTACTTCTCCCTATAATATCGATACATTACCCAGCGAACAGTTAAAGAGAATACTCCGACTTATCAGGTAGAGGCTGTTTTCTTGATCTAAAAACAAATTCTTTTTTCATTTGAAAAGGTAATGTTTAACTGCTAGAAGGGAGAATTCACAATCAGATCTTGGGGAGTAAACTAAAGAGCAGGTGGGAATTATCCTCAGGAACCTAAATTATTACTCTTTCTTTATTGGGGGCTCAGAGAATCAAACTGGTACGTGTATAATAAGTGTTTTTTGGATGCATCATCAACTGCCACAGGATAACACTGATTAGTTTATACTAGAACAGTGGATAGTATTGAAGGTGCATGCTTTGCTATTATAACCTTCTAATAACTCCCCAGAGATTTGCACTGATAAATATTTTAATTGTTGCAGGAATAAATGAGTTAAAATCATCGTTTTTTGCTATGTTATCTTGCTGGTTTAGTGCATACTAAACCAACTTTTCATTTCAGTGTTGGTGGCAACCAGTGGATTTTAATTACTGGGCAGCTTTGTAGCTTGGTTGACATCTTCCACAAGCCACCTCCATTTTGGTGAATTTTAATTATTCCTAAGTCATGCTGGTCACCACAGCACTTGAGAAAATCAAGGAGTTATTAAATGTCTGACTGGGTTTTAAGGAGTCCTCAACCCATTACCATCATAATCATGACCACTTAGGGATTAGCTGATACTTAGTGGAAAGACTGAATGAGTTTTGATGCTTTCTGTGTTTCTCCCCACAAAAAAAAATGATCCTATTGTTAAAAATTGTACACAAAGTAAACATGTTAATAACATTTCCTGATGTTTTCTCACTTACAGGATACCTGATAAGTACATCTTTTCTATAACAGACCTTACAGCAGAGGATTCAATAAGTTTTTAAGAAAAATGCAAAAACTTCAAAGTCAGCAACTTGTGGAAGTTTGATCCTTACTCTAATGTTTTTAACCCTTTCACTCCCATGAGTGATCAAAACAGAATTTCTCATCACAATATCACTATAAACTCAAGCAGACAAGTGAGGAGAATAAAGAAAAATACCAATGAGGGGATTATCAGTTGATCTAATTGCAAGTTCTCCAAACTAACATGATAGGAATTGTATTTGAGACAGTAATGAGAATTACAAATGGTAGTAAAAGGGCTAACAGAAAATAGGAAGCAATTTGGCCTGAAATACAGAACAGCTTGGCAGCTTTAAATGAAACCCCTGCTATAATGGCTAAGCATTGCAGTGTGACATAAATTGTGAACTTACCCTGTTTTAGACTTCCCTGTGCACCAATGAGTAAATATGATTCATTTTTGTCAAAAATTGCAGTCAGATTGGGTGCATTACAATCCACACTCATCTCTTCCCCACAGACAACCAAGCCTATTTTAAACCTTTACACCCTAACATCAGTATCCAAGTTCTGCATACTGTTCTCCATACATTTTCTGGGGGTACTGAGAAGGAGAATTTGTCTTACAATCAAGAGTTTCTTTAGTTTCTTGGTATTTCCTTTTTTCTCATGACCCTAGTGTTTGATTCAGGAGTAATGCTGTTGGGAGAAATAAAAGGCTTATCACTGTTAGGGATTTCAGTGTTGAACTTTTCAACTTTTGAGTTTGTAATGGGCTGTGAGGTCATCCTTTCAAAACTATTTTGAAATCTGAAGGACCCAAAATAGTATTTTCAACCTTCTCCAAGAGATGTTATATGACAAAAAGTTTCAAACAGTTTTTGTATAAGGTCGTACATCCGCCTTTTTTAATTATTTTTGTTTTCTTTTTAATGCTCTTCTATTCTTCATATGTACCTCATACTAAGACAAAATTAAATGTAATCCCTGGCAAAAGCCCCTCCTCCCACCCCCCCTCCCCCTCCCTCCAGCTCTGACACAGTCCCTGCTCCTTCCCTTCTCATTTTTCGATGGGAACAGAAAAGAAGTTTACATTCAGTCCTGAGGTGAGAAATCAAACACAGCAAGAAACACTGATGACGATTTAATCAAACAAATTATTGTTTTCAATACTTTCCAGGAATGGTGACATACACCTGGCAAACCTCAACTACCTTAGAAAAAAAAATCAGCTCGCATTTTCCTCCATCACTACTTCCAGTTCTTGAAATGGAACCAGCCTTTTCACGTCTTTATCATTTCTTACTATAGTGTTTGGTAACTTTCTTATTTTCTTAACATTTTTAGCTTCGATGCCTAGCTCTTGGCAGCAAACTGACACAAGAAATTGAAATGTCAGGCTACTTTTGTCAAGATCAACTTCTATAAAGTCTTCCTCTTCTGAATCGGCAACTCGCAACTTTATGACAATTTCCTTTTCAGAATTTTCAGCACAACAATTTGAATTACCCGAAGCGTTTGCATCTGTCGAAGATTCGTGGTTCCACGTATTTGAAATAGTAGTCCCTTGCTGTCTAAATCTGGAATCCTCATTCCTAGAATTGTCTTTTTCGGCGTAGAAAAACTCCGGATTTCGAAGATAGTTCGGCACGATAGGTAAAGACTCACCGGCTTGGCTTGATTCGATACCATCACCTTCTCCAAGCAGTTTCTTGATACCACTGTCATTGGAAAGTTTAGCAGCAGTTTCCCCTTTATGTGTGAGCGCTGCCGAATCAACTCCTTCCTGAATGAGGTATTTCACAATACTCAAATGTCCTCTTTTCGCTGCCCAATGTAGAGGCGTCCATCCGTTCATCGCGTTCGCAGCATTTATGTTGACACCTCTCTGGACGAGTGCTTTTACATTTATTTCGTCGCCAATGCAGCATAATTCACGCAATCTTTCTTCCAAATTCATCTTGGCTTCCATTGCTGTTGAGCTTTTGCGCCGCGTTAGTACAAATTTTTTTATTGGTTCATTAATTTCTGCCCGACTTGGAACACAACTGTCCAATCACACAGTGCGATATTTAGCTTTTTATAGGTTATCCGCTGAGTGGCACGTGCTTGTTCGTGGTCGTATAAACAACATGGCGGCTCGGAGACAGAAAGCGGGAACAGTTTCTTCAAGTTTGGAAGCCACTTCCGACTCCACAAGCCATGTAGATGTTGATCTGTAAGCAGTTTTGGGTTTTGATGTTTATTATTCTCTCGTTTCGCACGCTGATCTAAATCTTCAGCGGTAACGTTGTTACGATTACTGATTTGAGACCAAACTCTTTGGGTATCGATTTCCACCAGTGCCTTGACGTCGAGGAAATCAACCTCGTTTCCTTCTCTCCTGAAATGCAAATCATTTTACAAAGTAGATTTTAGGATTTAAATATGTAGATGCGAATCAAAACAGAGCCTAAAGGGATATCACCAACTTCCCAGGTGCTGTCGCCAAGTTTCTTGGGATAAACTCTTGAGCTGCATTACTATCAGCGCCAGAAACAGGCTTAGGCACATGGACTAAGGGCCGAGGAAGTTTGGACTAATTCAAGCATTTCTGTCGTGGCTTATGCCCTCCGTCCTCCTACAATATTTGAAAGATTCCTCTTTTGAAATGATTCCCTGTTCAAATCTAAAATGCTCCTGTGGTCAACTTATTGTAAAACAGTGTAGCATTCGAGAGACATATAAACGACCTGTGAGATATGCGTTTGTTTTCCAGAACTAAAAACTATCCCCCAGGAAAGCGAGGAAGATTGAATTAGTAGGTCATAAGCCAAGGCCTATTCTTGAATGTTTAGCTTAGCAGCTAAATTTGTTTCTTGATAATATCAATCAATTCTTTTTAAAAAAAAAAATTCTATACTCCTCTAATCCATTTCAAATATCTTGTATCAATACTTAAAAAAGAAGAAATTGGAACCTAAAAGACGAAACAAAACAAAAAGAGTCCTGTCTGGTATAGCCTCTAACCTTGAAGTATTTGAATTGTTAAAGGGGGCTTTGATTCTTCTTTGTGTCATACCCTTAAGAAAATTAATGTTTTACATCTTTATTCACACCACATCTAAGTCCAAAATTTGCCATCTTTGTGATATAACTCAAGTTTTAAATTCTCACAATTTTGGTCAATTTCATATTTCAGTATACAAAATGTCAGCAAATTTTCTTCCTTGTTAGAGGTTTTGGCTCTCAATCCATTAAACTCCCAAGATGTGCTTGTTAATTCTCCTCTCTAGCTGATACACATTTCCTCATTAGTTAGTTACAAGAATTTGGTGTTAGATCAAGATTACTACTTCTTCCTGATAAGTCTGAGTATTCTCATTACCTGTTTGCTGGATTATGTATGAGTCTCATAGGGAGAAGTTGCAAGTAAATCACTTCAGGGAGTTAAAGGGTTAATAATGAGTCTTACCACTGGATCAGAGACAATTATTTTGTGAGAGTAAAATCTAACAAAGAGCAAATATTGGAAATGTCATGTTTACAATAATCACCTATGGTAACATTTTTTTTTCTGTCATTTATAATTGAATCAAATTCACTTTATGGTTACATTCTCATACAGTATAGCTTCAGTGTACTTGTAATGATAATAATTTTTATACTTATAATAATAATAATAATAATAATTATAAAAGGAGTAACATCATTAATTGACTACTCACCTAATAGGACTTTTCAGGGCTAGTAAAAATAAAATGAAACAAATATTGCCAATGATCAAAGTGTTTAACCCTTCATACCCTAATATCAGTATGTACATTCTCCATACTGTTCTCTATACCTTTCTAAGGTGCTAAAAAGGAGAATTTTTTAACAATCAAGAGCTTTTTTAGTGGAAAATCATTTCCTAATTATACACGTGACCCTCATTTGAGATTTAGGGGTGATACTCTATGCCTCTCCTAAGATGCTGACAAGGAGAATTTTTTAACCATCAAGAGCTTTTTTAGTGGGAAATAATTTCCTAAATATACTTTTGACCTTTATTTCAGACCCAGGGGTGATACTCTATAGCTCTCCTAAGGTGCTGACATGGAGGATTTTTTAACAACCAAGACCTCTTTTAGTGGGAAATCATTTCCTAAATATACTTGTGACCTTAATCTCAGATTCAGGGGTGATACTCTATAGCTCTCTGAAGATGCTGACAAAGAGAATTTTTTAACCATCAAGAGCTTTTTTAGTGGAAAATAATTTCCTAAATAATTATACTTGTGACCTTAATTTCAGATTCAGGGGTGATACTGTATAGCTCTCTTAAGGTGCTGATAAAAAGAATTTTTTTAACAATCAAGAGCTTTTTCAGTTGGGAATCATTTCCTAAATATACTTGTGACCTCTGATGGTGATACTCTAAACCTCTCTTAAGGTGCTGACAAGGGGAATATTTTAACAATCAAGAGCTTTTTTAGTGGGAAATCCTTTCCAGAATATACATGCAACCTTAATTTGAGATTCAGGGCTGATATTATAAGGAAAGTTAAAAGATTATCACTCTTAGGGGTGAAATGGTTACTAATTCAAACTTGCCGAAGGCAGACCAGTTGGTTATATACAAAGCAAAGACAAGGAGCTGAACTCAGGGCAACTGAGATCAAAATAAATCCAGTGAGTAACAGGGTAGAGGGCTTGGACACATGAGGCCAGATCACAAGCCTAGTGCTGCAACCACTTGGTCACACTGCCTCCACAACTTTTAATTTGTCAATGTGTAACTTTGCCTTTTAGAACAAAGAAACTTTCACAACCAGATAAGTCTGTGTGGTGTCCAAGACCGTATACAATCTTCAAACTGCTACTGTCAGCAAGATTCTGTTCAGCATTTCTGAGTAACATATCAGACTGTGATGAGACCTTCAACTACTGGGAACCTGTGAGTAATAGTGAAGCTTTATTCTTTGGTCACTGGTATTAACCCTTTAACTCCCAAGATCAGATTGTAAATTCTCCCCTGTATCTGACACACAATTCCATGTAAATAAGTTATGAGAATTTGGTGTTAGATCAAGATAACAACTTCTTCCTGATAAGTTTGAGTATTCTTATTACCTGGTGGCTGGCTAATGTAGGGATATTATTGGGGGAAGGTACAGGTTAATCACTTCAGGGAGTTAAAGGGTCAAATACAACATGTATGTATGAAGGGAGTAAGTTTCTAAAGAAACTGTGGTGCTGTGTGAATGGGGGGTGTAACAAGATTGTTTGGTTTCATCAATAGGGTTAATAATGTAAATTAAAGCTAGTGTTCTAGGGATTAGGTCTTTAACAGAGTAAAAATCAAGGACAAAGGAGTAACACTTGATATGTCAGCTTTAGAAACTCTTTAAGGCAACCAATTCATGTCGTGAATTCAGTTGATTAAACCAAATTGTCTTGTATGTATGTATTCTTTATTGATCACTCCCCAAATGGGGTTTTTCAGAGTCAATAAGAACGAATCATTTTGAATAAATGTAGTGTTTCACCCTTTCACTCCCAAGATCTCATCAATAATTCTCCTTACTGTCTGCCATACAATTCGTATAATGTTAGTTCTGAGAATTTGGTATTGAGTCAACTAATAGTCCCCTAACTGATATTTTTCTTGATTCTCATCACTTTTCTGTTTGATATTGTATTGATTTGGTGATGAGAAATTCTTTCTTGGTCACTCATGGCAGTTAAAGGGTTAAAAACCTCAGTCAGTTGGTTGGAGGCAGACAAGTGACATGTAGCTTCATTCAAAGCTACAAGCAAGGAGTTGAACTCAGGACAACTGAGACCAAATCCAGTGAGAAGCAGAGTGAAGGGCCTGAATTCAGGACCTCTAGATTACAAGCCCATTCTCTTTATTATGATATTTCTGAGCTTTCGATGTGGGACAAATTGCCCAATTTTTCATAACTGATTTCAAACAAGGAAAGCATTGAGCTGTATCTGTGGGCAAGTGAAACAACTGGTTGGTTGCTGGTACTAGCAACATGGTGATAAAGATTGTTGAATATATTGCTATAACAAATTTTGGAAAGGGGATGTTTAGAGCATCAATTAAATATCAGATTTTCAAAATTTGTCTATGTCGTTTTCCTACCTATTTTATTTTCTAATTGATAACCAACCAGTGCTTTCAAACCACATTCATTTGCAAAATTCACAGACATATTTTACTCTTGCATTGTGTTATTTGTAATTTGTCTATTGCCTCGCTTCCACTTAAACCAATGAATTGAATAATATTTTATTTCTATTAAAAGTATGTATGTTGATGAAATATTCTCCAGGTGTGATGGTTCTTGGTGTTTTGTCATAAATTAATTAATACTCCAAAATGTACTTGCAATTTGACATCAACAACAATCAAATTTAATGACACATACAGGAAATCATACAGGATTGCTGTTTTTCAAATGTAAATTGCTTTCAATTGTTATCATGCTAACTAGGTACTGGTCTCTATCACAATAAGGTCACCTTCACCTCGCTCAATCCAAATCAAAGTCTTAGCAATAAGTACACAACTGTAAAATGGCCTATTGTTACAATCTTGCTTGTTTTACTAACATTCATCATTGATGGTTGTTTTAGATGCACTTTCTGATGTTTGGTTCTGGTTTTCAAACCTGGGAATATTCACCAAAGTATGCCATTAGGTCCTATGCTTATCTGTTGTTACACACTGTTCCTGGGAAACTACAGATCCAAGTGTTTGAAGCAAACAAGGTAAGTTTTCTTTCAGTGCAGCATTTTTGATATGCTTTTAAATGAGCCAGGAAAACTGTCAGTGACAGTGTTGGTACTTGAGGTTCAGGCATGTTGGAAGACTTCTCAGATTGAAAAAGAAAGACAGAAAAAGTGTTGTTCAGTGCATGAAAAAGCAACAATCACTGGCTGGGTTTTTTTGCTAGTGATAACTTGGTAAAGCATGACAGTTATGGTAATGTACTTCTGTGGTTAAGCACTTACAATTGTTTGATTTTTAAGCTACCTACCTTGAAATTTCAGCTGGCAGCTTAATTTCTTAACTTCAACCCTGGTGGTTTGGTTTTGTTCATTTTTTTTTGTTATCTCTCTGTCTTTTTTTCCTTTTTTATTTTATTATAATTTTTTTTTTCAACCAAATGCCATCCTACAATTACAAGCTTTTGTCACTGAAAGTTTTCACCACCAATTTGCACTGGAGCTTTTAAGACCTAAACCTCAAATTTTATGCTTTTCATTTGCAAAATTTTGACAGTAGGTCACCATGTCTCCCTCATCCTTAGAAAAATGTGGGGGATAGGAATATTTATTCACATGAAATTGTGTTTTTTATCATTTCTACACTGTTTAGCTGCTGGTGTTTTATTTTCTACGATTTGCTCTTTCAATATTCTGCGCAGCTTGTGAGACGTATTTCTACAGGTATGAAACCATTTTAGATTCTGTTAACCCATTTTACTCCCAAGATGTCATTAGTCATTCTCCTTACTGTCTGCTATACAATTTCTACATACAGTTAGTTTGGAGAATTTGGTAATGGATCAACTAATAATCTCCTCATTGATATTTTTCTTTATTCTCATCACTTGTCTGCTTGATGTTGTATTCATTTGATACTGTAAGGAGAAATTCTGTCTTGGTCACTCTTGGGAGTTAGAGAGTTAATACTCTTAATATTCATAAGCTCAACTTGATTAGTTGATTGTATCAGCATTTGCTGAGATGAGCCATTCATATGGCACATGTTGTTGATGTTGAAACCCTGCTCATGGCACTCGAAGAAATTTGCAGTCAAAGCAACAGGTATATTTGGAGATCTTCCCCTATCGCTTTGATAAGCTTATTAAATCACCTAGTGTGTCTAGGGCTCTATACATAAATTTACAATTGGCCAGACTCCTTAGCTTGTTGGCTCCTGGACTCCTTACAGTGCACATAAAGAAAGTAAAACTATCATCTGGAGCATAAGACATGAAAAAAGTTGACATGAGCTTCTTGGAAATAAACTTATGAACTCTTCAATCCCAGAGAGTTACTTAAATTAAAATTTCTCCAGCACAAGTATAAAGGAAATGATTGCCATTTAAAGAAGCCCTTGATTGTCAAACAAATTCTGCTTGTCAGTTCCATAGGAAATGTACAGAGAGCAGTATGGAGAATATGTATACTGATGTTTGGGTGTGAGAGGTCAAGGGTTATAAATTAGAGTGAAGAGGCAAATGAAGGCTTAACCTTTTAACTCCTAGAAGTGATTGAAATCTAACTTCTCCTTTTCATATTCATACATTATGCAGCAAACAGGTAATGAGAATACTCAAACTTATCATGTAGACATCGTTGTCTTGATCAAATACCAAATTCTCATAACTAATTTACAAGGAAGTCTGCAGCAGCTATAGGAGAGAGGGGAGCAGCTAGAAGGGAGAATTAAAAATCAGACCTTGGGATTTTAAGGGTTAAACAATGATTCACACTTAAACTTGCTAATGCCTTTTCACTTTTTATCAAGTGTGGCCAGTTTTCATTTTGATGGTCACATTTAACGCAATTCTCTTTTCTGTATAAACATTTAATAAAAGTGTGAAAGTAAACTGCTTTGAATTTATCAGAATTAAGGGTTTTCATCAATTTTTGAAGTTGAATTGGTAGCACAAGTTTACCCCTTCAACTCCCAGAAGTGATGGACGTGTAACTTCTCCCTAAAATATCCAAGCATTACCCAGCAAACATGTTATAAGAATATCCAAGTTATCAAGTAGAAGTTGTTATTTACATCTAACACCAAATTCTTGTCACTAATTTACATGGAAATGTGTAGCAGCTAGAGGGGAGAATTAACAATCAGATCTTGGGAGTTAAAGGGTTACATAATCTGTAAAGGTAAAGGTGAATTGGAAATAACACTTAGTTGATAGTAATTGTGTATTAATGGTCCCTATTTGTTTCATGATTTCAGTGGAATAATAAAACAATTTGGGAATCATGTTGCAAGAATAGCTGTTGTTTTTATGATTTTTAGTACTGGGATGTTTATATCTGCAGCTGGTGAGTATAAATGCTGATTAAATGCTTTGATTCAAAATTTGGAAACCAGTGGTTTTTTTTTTTCACTTACAAGTTCAAAAATAAATCATTTTGATTTAAAACACTTTAAATTAAAGCATACCAGTACATTTAAATCATCGCAGATTGCTGGCAATGAGTGAGATCTCAACTGCATAGTGGTCAATTGTGTGATGTTGCAGCCGAACCCAGAATATTGTGAAAAAAGAAAGACAGGCTGGTATTCCTGTACTCTGAGTGTACAAGGAGGGGGTCCATGTTACCTGTGCACTATCAATGGTCATTAAACCTACTGACTGGTGTAACTGTTGCTCTGGATGACAATTTGCATTGTTGAAAGTGTTTGAACTAGCTAAAAAAGGGAATAAGGAGTAAATTATATCTAGAAAGTTGACTAAGTTCATAAGTTCTTAACTGAAGCAGGAGTTTGCTGTCTCAAAATCAACAGTTTAAATTACATACCTGGAATGCATGAGAAATAATTACCTATAGTTTCAGGGTGAGAGCATAAGATGAATTTGTTTGCATGAGTCTTGCACTCAATGTGTAAGACTAAAGAGCTCTACCACTGATGCTGTAATTCTGGGTTAGTGCACTAGAATCAAATGTTAGTCTTTTGGGTCTTGATCTGAACTGCTCCTTTACTACATGTAGTCCTAAGATAAATTTTTTTTTTGTTCCTCGAAGCATTCCTACCCAGTACGTTTGCTATGTACATGGTGATTTTATCTTATGGAGGATGGTTTTCAGGAAATTATGCTGTAAGTTATTGATCAGGATACACAATTTTTTTATGATAGCGTTTACAAATAATGTTTAGTTTGTTTTTTATAGCTACTGAATGTTTATCACTCAATAAGTGAATTATTGTTCAATCAGGTACTGTTTAGACTGAAATAAATATTTGTATAAGATATATGATTTTTAATAAGCCTCTTATTTAATCCATAAATCACTGATATTTTCCTCTCAACTGAAGTATGAATTTTTTGATGACTTTCTGCTATATTAAAATTTCTTGGACTTTAGACGAGGGTTTGTTTGAAATGATTTGTGATATAATAGCTATTTTACAGGACTGTACTTTGAGGGAGGGAGGTAAAGATCTTAAACATGGCATCTAATTAGGCCCAAATTTAAATTCAGTGTAATATTTGGTGCGTGAATTTTACAGAAAGGCAAGATGGGGTGAGATTTAAAGTGTACTGTTTTAAATTGTGACGCTTGAAATGCTGCTAATATTACAGATGATGGGTGAATTTTTTCTAAAATTCATGTATTGAATGGAATCAGAACCTGCCTTTTCTACCCTTCAGAAGGAAGTGGGTTTAATGGTTGGTTTGGTTCATTGTTCTGCTCAGTGGTCATACCCAGACAAAATAAGGGTGTTTGATTCCATAGTGCATGTATTGTTACAAAGATACACTAGTGAAAAAAATAAATAATTCATTTTGTGTATAGCAATGTAAGCTGTAGTTTGAAAGTATTACCAGGCTTTAAAAAATTTTGAGACAACATGATATAGGGGCTAAAAATGTCTTGTTATACTGTAGTGCTTAATCTATTATCTCCATCATAGGTGGCTGTCTTAGCAACAGCAGCTGGTTCCCTGATTGGTTGGCCTTTTAGTGCAGTTCTTGGGTGGGTACTAATGTTCATGTAATGGTATTAAAATGCTTATTGACTGAGTTCAGTAGGGCAGGAAGGGGAAAACATTTGGCTCAAGGTTATGATGTACAGACAAAGAGCAACAAGGTCCATGCATTGTGACTAAGGGCCAAATATTTTCCTGTTCAGCTCAACCGAAATAAGCCAATAAATATACATAATTTTTGGTTTGAAACTTACAATTTCTCAATTTCATCGAAAAGAAATTCACTGCAAGTCTGAGTTTCCTTGAAACTATCAGTGATAAGTTCATATTCAAAATGCTCTGTTTTGATTCTATTGATTTATTTTTTCTTGTATTGTTTCAGAGTTCCTATCGCATGGGACATCATAGTACGACAAAGAAAAATAATGTATTTTATACAATTATGCCTTATATCACTTATAGTATTTCTGGTGAGTACCGCAAAGATATCTTATGCACATATTTACTGTTATGTTTATTTGTTAAATGTGATCAAAATTCAGTGTTCAATATAGACTCTAGTTTTTCCCTTGAGCACATGTACAGTGTATGTCAATGTACCTATGTATGTTCATGTTAAAAAATTTTCTCACAAGTAAAGAAATGATATAAAGCAAACCAATCAAAAGTTTCTGTACTTTAATAAAATGCTTTAATTAGCATATTTTAATATTTACTTTTCAACGTATTGCATTGTACAGACTTGCAATACATCAACTGTGTTAGTTTTGAGTATTTTGAATTGTATGAGTCATCACTTTATATCTCCTTCTTGCCAAATTTGATGTCTGTATTGTAAGTGATGGACCAAATTTTTTGCACCAGGATGGGTGCAAAAATGGCCCAAGTGCAAAGTGCTTGAGCCATAACTTGCATGTTCCATCACTTACAGTATTGACCAAAAAAACAAGGTTAGTAAAGATGTGTATTATATCTATTGGTTCAAATAAGAGGCAGAACATTTTAATTTGAAAAAACTTTTGAATTTAGCGGGCCGTACAGTTAAATATGCCCCACTAAATTGACCAATCATAGTGCATGTACTAATGGAGAGATATAATAAATTATGTTATGGTCTGCTCACGTGTCTGTGAGTTGTGTAGGTTGAAAAATGAGAGGGCTCTCATTTCTCATGCCAAACACTCTAACTCTTGGGAGAAGCTGGCCATAGCTGCAGATGCTCAAGCAGGGGTCTTTTTGTATTGGATGACTATACTATAGTACACTGTGACATTTGATTGAAACTTTTTAATATGGTACTAATGTTTATTTCTTTATTTATTCTTCATTTAGGGACCATTAGTGTATATTGATTCCTTTTTCTATGGCAAAACTGTGATTGCCCCCCTAGGTATTGTGCTGTACAATGTATTTGGCAAAGGTGGCCCAAGCCTCTATGGTAAGGTTTGATAGATGGCATTGTGTGCAAAGTAAAAGTGCAATGATCTTTGTAACCTGAATGTGTCTGGAAGAGTATGGATGGGAAGAGAGTAATTTCTGTAATGTGTCTTGCTCACTGATTGGCAAAATTGAGTTATAGTTGTAATTGTGGTTTTTCCTGAAATATATACATACATTGGAATGTGTATTTAGCAGCGCTGTATTAGTTGTCATCTGGTATTAAGCAGTTGGTTTTCAAAATTCCGAAATTGTCACCCCTTATTTACTGTAATTTTCACCTCTTTAAAGTGATCATGGTCACCTTTTGCTGAGTCCTAGTGGCCTGTTTGCATTGTTCTCCACTGGTATTGACTATTCTTAAAACTAAGCATAATATTTCAAGTAAACTTAAATACATTTTTTTCCCCCAAAATCAATGTTAGTAGTACTTTTTGAGCAAGTTTGTGTGCATTTAGTTGTCAATTATGACATGAAATAGCCGTTTTTAACCTTTAAATTCCCAGACCAATTTGTAATTCTCCTTACTGTCAACCAACAGTTCTTATAATATTAGTTCAGAGAATTTAGTATTGGATCAACTAATTATTGCCAAATTGATATTTTTCTCTATTCTCATCACTTATCTGGTTGACATTGTATTGATATTGTAAGGAGAAATTCAGTCTTCATCACTCATGGGAGTTAAAGGGTTAACATACCCTACTCTGTGAGACCTGTATTAAGCGGTCTCCGTGCCATTTCCTGTGGGTCATCCATCAATACATGTTCAACATAAATGGTTAAGTTTGTTAAAAGGAGCCAGGTAACAGTGCTTTAAATACTGTCTGCCTGGCAAAAATGTTGGTACTTTACACCCTGAGATCAGTATGCATTTTCTCCACTCTGTACTCTATACGTGTCCTAAGGTGCAGACATGAAGAATTTGTTGAACAGTCCAGAGCTTCTTTACCTGGTGATCATTCCCTTAATTCTCATGACATTAATGTGTGATTCAGAGGCGATATTGTAGGGAGAAATTAGATGCTGGTCACTCTTTGGGGCCAAAGGGTTAATACAGAGTAGGAAATCTGCCGCGAATTTTCTTCACCTTGGGCTTAGTCTAAATTTACATGCGAATTTAGAAAGCTCTTATTTTCTTTTGTTACCCAAAAGCGCAAACATTTTCTTGGTCTGAGTGAAGAAAAAAGAGAGAGGAAGACGGTTTTGTGTCAAGGTCACCCATAATTTAGAAAATGAGAAGGAGAAAGAGAAAATTGTAGACTAACCTTTGCAAGGATAAATCCGCCTGTACATTTTCACAAATATTTTTTTGTTTAGAGAGATGACGTGGCATATGTTACTTTTATTTTACAGGCGTTGAGCCGTGGTCGTTTTACTTCTTAAATGGGTTTTTGAACTTCAACATTGTATTTCCTATGGCGCTGCTCGCTTTACCTGCCTGTGTAAGTACTTGAATGGTCAAAAAGACCTTATTGATAATATTGATAGCTGCATGCGTGAAAGCGTGAAATAAATTTTACTTGACATTTAATCATTTTGAAAGTTCATGCACGCTTTGTGCGGCTGAGAAAGTTTGAACGAGCAACAATAATGCAGCTGTGATAGCAGCAAAACTTTTCTACAGTTGTATGATGCACATGCAGTGTGAGTCACAATTTTGGTGTCTGCTTGCCGCAAAATTTCCTGCAAATGGAAAAGGATTTCACCAACGTATGGTGCAGTGGTTTATTTAACTTGAGTGGAATATCTAGCATTGCACAGGAAAGGTTGGATCAATGTTAGTACCTACCCCTACCCTAACCCAACATGAACATTGTTGAGGTAAGGAAGGGGTAAAGGTGCAGTTGTTAAGATACTGACATTGATCGAAAATGCTTTTTCCTTGGATCTTAGAGGTTTCTCAATCCGTCTCTAAAGATTAACAAACAGTAATTTGTTCTTATTGTCGTTGGCAAAATCTGAGACCATGCTAGGGGAACATGAAAATGATACTGTCACGACCCTTGTGTGTTTTGATGCTCACATTAATTGTGTGTTAAACGTGATTTATTAACCAGATAATAATCTATGTTTGACAGGTCTTTATTAAACTGGTGATGACTGGGAAATCACAGGAAAAGAAATGTATATGAACAAAAGTTGTTTTTAAAATAAGATTTTAGATCATCGCTATATGACATAAACCATAATGATAGACTTCAGGGTATCATAGTATGGTGCAAAAGTTATGCCCGAAACGAAACTTTTGGCGACATCTCCGCGAATTTTCGAGGCAACTATTGTTTGGATCCGTCTGAACTTTCGCGTAATAATTCACTGGGGATGTTAGTAAGTTCCGAAATTTAGAGAAAGTTTGCGTTTCTCAAAAGATTCGCGGGGAACATTTCAGTGATAACGCCCAATTTGTCAAGGGAAGCTACTTCGTAACGAAACACATGTAATTTCGCGCTGTGATTCCTGTATCCAAGGAAACTGCAATCATAGCAACCTTGGTATTCCCATCGTCTCAGTGTTTTCTGTCTTATTAGAGTCCCTTTTTTGCAATGATTAACTGGAAAATTCTCCCTAACCTCTTATAACATTATGTTACTCTAAATTACGAGAATTTAGTGATGCATCAGAACTGACGGATTTCCCTTCTTTTTTAGTTCCGTCGTCAGTGTTACCAATTTGGCTTTCACTTATGGGGATGTACATTTGGATTCTAATTTTCTTCACAAGACCTCATAAGGTATTGGGACTAGATTACTCATTAATGTTTGGGAATATGTACGCGGTAAATAAAATTTGAATGAAAACAAAGCAATTTCATTCGGACTTCGCGCAATCCTCCTTTCCGCCGAAGCCTTCGCGCAAGTAAAAAAAAACTGCGCCGTTCTGCATGGCGTGCTAACATCAATTCATCTCCATTTTCTTAATTTACGCGACGAACTTCGCCGATAAGGGAGGAATTGTTCGTTGTCTAAGTTGAATTACAAACTGACATTAATCACTTACCCAACTGGAAACGTGTTTTCAAACGTACAAAGCGGAAAATTAGTTACAATTCACAGGTTTGTCGTGAGCAGGAAATTATGTTGTAATCACTGTCTGCAAAATCGACTGTGTAATGATGTGGTTCTTAATAGGAGATTTAGACATTTGCTCCTCTTTCCTTGTTAAATGTAAATAGTATTTGTAACTAATTCGTAACAAAAAATGATGATTTAGATATGTCTGCGTTTTTGTCGTAATAGGAGGAAAGATTTCTGTTTCCAATCTATCCGTTCTTTTGTTTATTCGGAGCTGTAACGCTTACCAACTCACAGGTAAGTACATTAAAACTTTTTTTTCAAACTCATATTAAAGCCAAGGAAAAAAGTAACTTGTTCTCCAGCTAGCTTGCGGTCTAATTATTTTTGTCTGTTGAAATTTATATTTCCCTTTCCACGTGTAAAAGCTCCTTTCAGTATCAGTCACTACTGTGCTGAAAACAGTATTTATCTGTAAGCCACATCAGGAAAGGGTCAGGGAAACTCGTTTCTGAGTCTCCAAAGATGATACTTCGTTTCTATTTATTTTCTTTTCATTGGAAAGGACGCCTGCAAGAGGAGAACAAACGCAACTAATTTTCTCAAATGTTTTTACGTATTCAGCCAGTGGAATGTGTTTTGTGGAATGTGTGTTGGTTAGGCCTTAAAAAAGGTCTGAGGTAACCATTTCAATGACGCAAGGCAGCGTCTTCGTCATGCATTTTTTTTGTATCTTTTACAGAAATTATTCCATGGGCTTTTCTTTAGCGGAAGCAGACATCATTACTCGGCTTCTTCCACATGGTTTGCAGTCTCTGCTTGTGTAGTGTTCTCAGTTTTGTCTTTGTCAAGATCAAGTGCTCTTTATTATGGTGAGATCTCCTTCACTGACACAGTGTAATTACAAAGTGCTAATGGGCCAGTGTCGGAGGAACGAGTTGTTGAATTGTTGTGTGACACTGGAAGAAGGCTTCGGACAATCTAAGATCCCTCTCTATATCCATGAAATGACTGTCATCTACAGCTGTTCTTGGAAAAGTTGTCGGAAGAAAGCATAGAAGTTCACGCAACAACACCGAAAGGTTTAGTGGGTAGTTTTTAGCTCACAACTCCAAGGCAATGCTAATTAAGAGAAAGGTCGGACGAGGCATCGTAGGTTTGACTAATTTATATATTAGTTACTGACAACCCAGATCACCTTTCGAGATTGTCGCGTGCAATTATGTCCCCTTTTCCAACGAACTTTCTCGATTTATCGCCGTCTGCCAATATTGCCAAAAGCCGTCTTCGAATGGATAATTGTTATTCGGCGAGAGTAACTACAACATCAAAAGCTTATGCGGCACAACATTTTACAAAACAGCATCAGAGACCTATTATATTCTGAAACAGATTGAAGCTTTGGGTTTGAAATGGCTTTACTTTTTTACTCTTCAATTATATCTTGAACTTATATCACCAAGGTGACAGTGAAATGTTATCTTTGCAGGCATAAAGCAAATCATTGTATTGAAAAAAAAACCTATTTTTCATGCCAAATCCAGGCAGTGAATCATAATGTTTAGAAGTATTTGCAAGGATTTAGAAATAAATTTTTCTACAGTTGAGTCGCAAAAATGCATGTATGTAGTTACATGGGATCGTTCTTCGAAAAATTCCAAACAGATACCGTATCTGAAGATTGTTCACTCTCTTTCTGGTTGTTTAGGTTACCACGCACCGATGGACCTGTTTATTGAGTTGAACCATATGTCGTCTAAACTTGAGGAGCCCCTTCCTCAGGGCAAACAAATAAACCTGTGTGTTGGAAAGGAGTGGTACAGATTTCCCAGCAGCTTTTTTTTACCCTCGGAAAGGTAATTGTTGTTATTATGGGAGCTACTTCAAGTAGTCCAATTTTGCTCGCAGTTAAATGAAATAAAGAAAATTCTGATGTGAGAAATTGTTGAAAGGAAGCTTGGAACTCAGAAACACCACAATACAAGTTTGGGTCTTCCGCCATCTGATGTACGGAGCCGCATGATAGGAACAAGGCTAATTTTGGTGGGCTCTCTGTAGCTTTACATGCGGATGATAAGCTGCAATAAATAAATCAGCAGAAAGAACACCACAAGGAATGCGATCTGACATCCCTGACTAAAAGGGGAAAAAGTTAGTGAAGTACTTTGCCCAATCCTCACCCGGAGGGTTTTTCTAGAGCCCGACTACTTTGAGATCTGTCAGCTTTGGCCCGTCACTCTGAGACTAAAGCGAAAGGAATTATTTCTTTTATGATAAAATTCACATCCGTTTTATTTTGTCCTCGTCATAGATGGCATCTACAGTTTATTCGTTCCGAGTTTCGAGGTCAGTTACCAAAGCCTTATGCTGACGGACGCAACGCTACAAAAATTATACCAACCCATATGAACGACATGAATGAAGAGGAGCCTTCAAGATATGTAAGTATCTAGACACTAGGGCCCAGTTGTTCGTTATTCGTCGCTCAGTTCTTCCTGGCCCAAAATTTTTTCATCGTGGGGAGAGTTGCCACGCAAAGTCCATCTAGCTTGAATTACCTTGTATTGTGGACCTCTTAAAGTCGATAGATTCGCGTGGATCAGTGCCTGCAACACGACGCACAACGTCTCAATAGTTGAACTTTTGTGAAAATATTTTTTCCTGTGATAGAATTTTGTCCCCGAAAAAATTCGCGTTATTTCAAACTGTTTTGTACTCATGCTGCGATCACTGCGCTAAAATGGGTTGAAGCGACTTGTTTTGGAAGGAGCACACAGCAGGTTGTTCGACACAGAGATCTGTGGCAGCAACTTGTTAAAAATCCTGGTGTGCCCAGGCCCTTCACTCTTTTTTGCTTTGAACTTTTGTAGATGTCTATCTCAAAATGTGACTTCCTCGTGGATTTAGAAACAGAAAGGGAAACTGAACTTGAACCAAACTATGTGAAACGAACTAAGGACTGGGAAGTGGTGCTTCAGAAGCCATTTCTGGATGCAGAAAGGTAGGTAATTGTTCAGTCGTACTGAAAAAAGAAAAGTAAAAACGTCTATTTGTGTTGTCAGATCTCGAACTTCGATAAGCCCGTGATTTGAGGTTGCTTAAAAACATAAGTTGTTTGACGTTTTGACATGCTTTAACCGCTTGCGGTATCAACAGAGTCTGCGCCTTGGCCAACAAAGAGCCTGTATTAGTATCCTTTAATTTGATTCATGTGGTTGAGAAAACAACTACTAAAAGCAACTTGGACCAAGAGTTTCCTTGCTTATTTTGCAATTTATTTTTTCCACACTTCTCAGTATGATCGTTTGTGAAATGTTGCTTTTAATTGAAAATGTGATTGTCACTCCTCTCGTGTGTGAGGTCTGATAGTCTAAAACTTTTCGGACCCAAAATGCAAATCGGATGATGTTAACCTACAAAGGTGGGCGAAGTTTTATCTAAGTGGTCGTCCTAACTTGCAGCTCCACGGTTTCGTAGATAACTGACAGTTTGTAATTCATAGCTTCACATACCTGAATATATTGTCGATGGTATCCTTGGATGGATGGAGACTTTTTAACATGCTACCTATTGTTGTAGCCTTCTGTGACTTCTTGACATTTTCAAAAAATTCCTTTCACTCTGATAATGTTTACCTGTTTATATTGAAAATTGCTGAAAGTCATAAGAGAGAAACCTGGCCCCGGTTGTTCGAAAGGTTGACAAAGCCATCTATTAGATAGATCTCTACCCGGTGGGTAGTGCATGACGTTTCGTTAACACTTACCCAGTGGATTGCGATTCATCCGTTGGATTGCGTGAGTCGCCTTTTGAACAACTAAGCCCTGATTAAATATTTTCCTAGCAAGCTTAAGCAGACCAGCTCCTGCCAAAACTTTTTCTCTCTGCATGACCAAAGGTCTCCTCGGTAGAACAAGTTTCCTTGTCTCACACGACTCTGTTCTTTCTTTTCGCAGATCTCACCGACTTTTCAGAGCATTTTATATTCCCTTTGTCTCCTACCGCTTCACAAAATATTCAAACTACGTTTTGCTGAGATCACTACGAAAGACCAGTGCGAAGGCAAAGAAAGGAAAAGATAGAAAAGCTGTTGTCAAGGAAGAAGATGCAACAGTTTAACTAGCACTGTATTTAGGAAGAGACATAGCTATTGCCTAGCTTACAAATGCAAGAAATTTTCAACTAATATCGTCATCACAGTTTCGTCTTCTGCCCTTACGTTTACCGGAAAGGTGGTCGTTTAATTTCGTGTCGTATTGTTTTCCTTTCGGGTATCTTCAGACAAGATCATTTCGCGACGAACCTTCCTGAACATGCTAATGAACTTACGGCAGGCACGTTTTTCATTAGGCCATTTCCGAGAAACCCGAAGACTCCCTTTCAAAACGAGGATATATGATAAAACTGATCTTGAAATGATCTGCTTTTCTCATGCAGTTAAAATGACGCGTCGCGAGTAAAATCTTGTTCTTGGCCTCAATCTTTGAGGATAAAGGAGCTTAACAATGGTCTTTTGTTTGGTCAGGGATGTTACATAAGTTAAAGTTGAGCGCGCTGTTCTCGGAGATTACAAATAACTTATCAGATAAGATGACCGTTCATGTATATTCACACCAGACTGATTGAAGTTGAAATAAACGAGAGAGCCACGCTGTGAGGTTAATGAAGGAGTGAATCAGACTCGATACTTAAGAACAGTAGTTTCCTAGCAAGTTACCAGTTGGACGTAATTCGGCCCGATCACTCGCTGCACAGTGTGGTAAGGCTTGGGCTATCGATGTGAAAACTAAAACAGTCTTAATAACCCTTGCGGCTTTATGTCCCTCTCCCAAGATCTTATCGTTGACTGAAATAGAAATCTTTCGCGCTCTTACTTCAACCCACCGCACTGCTTTGTCTATCCGAGAAAATTACTGTTCGAACGTTCCTCTCAGCTAGAAATTTAGGACAACTTGACGATATGTTGGCTTAGTTCGTGACGTTACGGGAGACTTCTCTCCTGCCTGATTGCCTCCATTTCGGCGATTATAAAGAAAATGACAGACTTGTGTTTTGTAACATTTTTATAATTTAGTGATAATGTTAATTTTTTCGTTTCTAGTCACGGCCATATGCCTCGATCAGGACACTTCTTATATTTCTTCTTAATCACCCACAATACCGTCACAGCAGACTTGCAAAACGTAAAACAATAAGAAAAACAACCAAGCATACAAAACAAAACAAACAGTATTATTTCAAACCACTTTGGGAAATTCTGACATTAATCTTTGGCACAAGCTTTGTAAGATGAAAATTACGGATGATTTTGCAACAACGCAAGGAGTGCGCGCAACAAAGTTGATATCTAGCACTGTATGCACTATCGGTATCACTGAGTCCTAAGATGGACTGATCTTATTTCGACCCTCATTCCCTTATTTCCTATATAAATAACGATTATTTGTGTATGGACAGATTATTTTACGTTTGAAAACATTTCTATTGTCTCAAAGCTGCGCTTTGCAATGTGTGTGTTCAAAGCTTAAGAAAAGTTATGACTTTTCAAACTAATTTTTTGTTTTAGTTTGTCTAAGAATCGTTATTCACTCACCGGAATCGACTTGGTATATTACAAGATCTTGTCTGTGTTTACACCTAACTTATTTCAAAAGTATTTTTGAACGACAACTTCGTATTCAATTAAAATGTTTATAACGTAACACAATAGGCCTCTTACTTCGCTACGTTGTTCAGACCATATACTTCAAGATCTATCAAAGCTCTTAACATATAATTTATTTTTCTCTAATGCTAGAAGTCCTTGAGCATACCAGCTTTTAAGAGAAAGTGTTGTGTATGTTAAACTTGATACATAACGACTTGTATGAAGTTTCTGTGCGAAAATAATTTGAACTCATGAAATCAGCTATATTTTAAGCTGGCGCAGAGCCAGTTCCAAAGTACGCATTGATAGGCGCTTGTTCTGCGCTTTTCGATCATAACTACTAGTTACGGCTACTTGAATTCTAGCGCGTACACCATTCAAACTCGATCACGTGCTCCGTGATGTTCAACTGACACTCTTCCTTACCTATCCCATAATACACCTTGGTGTTCTTACACTGAATGGTTATTTCACGAAGGCTGACAGCGTATCCCTTGCTTATCAAATCAGCCAGGGTCATATCCACAAAAGCTTTCATCTCAGCATCTTTTAAAGGACAAACCACAGGCTCCGTTTCTTTCACGCGACGTTGCACATTTTCAAACGTGTCGTGAATTTGCACTGATCCCCGTTTAGCGGGTTTGCAAACGATCAGGTTGTGCGCATGCGGACCAACACAGTCTCCGCATTCCATAATCTTTTATGATCCTCTTGCGACAGCAGGCTCACTTTTGCTTGTGGACGTCAGATTTTGAAGACTCTTGTTTTGTGCGCAAGTGATAATCTGTTGTTGCCACTTTTCAAAATCACTTCCCAGCTTATATTTCCTTGCCTCTTCCAATTTGTGCGCAAAGACGTTTGAGAAACGTTCTAGAGTGTCAATCAAGCCCTCTATTTGGTAGAATTGTGCTTCTTTGTAAACCTTTGAAGACAATTGCATCAGAAATGAAGAAATGACTTTAAGAACCCTTTGAATGACTAAGCGCCATACTGCGCAGGATAGAAGTCAGGAACTCCTTTCTGCTACAACCTTTTGCCAAGTTCTAATGAAACACTCCATATTTTTCGGCAGTCCAATTATCTGTTACCATCTAGGGGAGGGGGAGGGTAATCAATCGTTTATTGAGCGCGACGTTTCGACTGCTACACCGCTAGTCTTCTTCAAATATGAATAAGGTCACTTTTTTGGATGTTGAAGGTGTACACATTTCCTCTACAGCAAGTCTTTTAATTTGTGTTTTTTTGTCTTCGTGCCATGTGAGGAACTATTCTAACATATTAGATACCCAACGTGTCTTTGCGTTTTATTTATCTGGTCATTTAAATGAAAACTATCAAAGGATAATTTGGCCATCGCTTACCTCGAGAGCTCTTTCAGCAGATGGTAGCTGTGTACTATCTCGAAGATAATTCAGGATTTCTTTGAAGTACGTTCCATCCCGATCAATAAAATATCTCCCTTCACTGTCTGTGTCCAGTTCGTGCCGGCCACTAAACATGGCGGCTAACATAGAGTCCTTATCCTTGGTCAATGTGGATAGAGTAGTTACAAAGTGGTATCCACCAACATTAAGCGGTATCACCCTGGGTAAAGACTGTGTGAATGGAAAGAAGCACACGGAAAAAATTAGCTGGAGTAAAGGAGAAACCGTGGGGTTTCGTAACAGTTCTTCATTAATTGTCATTTAACAGTTTTCTTATTCAATTCGTCGTTCCTTGTGGAAATTGTTTAATAAACTTGAAACCTGCATCTCGTGGGGCCTCACGGCTTTTTTCGAGGCCCTAATCACGGGAATTTTCCCCGCACTTGGGGCCCCAGGCCTCTCCCGATTGTGCTCGTAAATGTTGGGAAAGAGTTGCCAAAAATTGCTAAAACTCCGAAATTTGCTACCCAAATTTCAATAGTTGCTTCCCAAATTTCTTGATATGTTTAAATAAACGTTGATTAAAAATATACTTCCGTTCTTTTACAATATTTTCCGACATTGATCAGCTTGGCCTTAAAAGTTGTTCACCAAATATGCGCTGAATTTTTAGGTATTCTTTGATGGAATGCAATAGGTCTGTGAAACGTTGTCGAGTGACGGGTCAAAAGATTAATTAATTGCAGTCATCAGTAATCCGTGCCACCATTAAAAAGAGTTTTCAAAGTCCTAATCATTTCCGGAAATTTTCAAAAATCTCTCCGGATGTAACAAATATTTTTATTAGAGATGAGAGAAGCTGAACATTTTCTTTGACTGGAGACTAGGCATCACGCGATTAATTTCTATTCAAATTCATCAAACTTTTGAAAGGTTAGAGACACGAAATATCATAATAGTATAGATATACCAAAAATTCAAACAGATTATTTGAAGGGGACTCCGACACAGCCATTCTTCAAGGTGTCACGCTTCTAGCGGCAATTTCACGCAACGCTCTCCCAAACGCGTCTATTGGGGTAAGTGCGTGACATCCCAAAGAACGGTTGCAGACTATGAAGGTGATTGATTCAAAAGCCAGAACAAGGTGAATTAACACTCAAAAAATCGTATAGACCGAAATACTGTGATGGATAGAGATTGCAAAAGCTGGCGTGTCATCTTAAGAACCTACTCCTGAAGACAACCCTATTTCGGTATCCGACACCATCAATTTTAATCGCGAGGTCAATGGGCTAAGTATGCCCACGATAAGTCGAAAATGGAGTCGTACTCGATGCTTGCTTTCAAAGATATCAGTATTTACCTGTACGCGTTGCAATTTTTCCTCAAATTTCTAATCAAGTGTTGTAAAATCCGGGTTTGAATCCTGGATCCTTGCGGCCTCGCAGAAACTCAGTTAGGAAGTATTACCCCCCAACAGACATTTTCATGGGAAATTGAAATGCGTAGTACCCTGAATGTCCTTGTAAACTTACCGAGATTGTGCGTACTGCTTCACTGTGTCCAACCATAGCTAAAAGTCTTGTCTTTGAGAACGCTATTGCTCACATGATATGTTTGCAACAATACATCGATTAAGCAACGACTTGCGCAAGCTGCAACGGATAAATACGAGAGAGAGGTGTTGAAAAGTTTCACAACTGCACTGGGTAAGAAGGGATTTCTAATTTTCTTTTTTTTGTACACGATGGCTTCTTAAATAAAATATGAATTTAACGGTTTATGTGCTTTCTATCGCTATGAAAGCCAAAGATCGGTTAAACATGACTATGTAATTAAGTTAGCTCAAGTTTTTATAAAGGTCCTGATAGTCGTGAACGGTCTTTTTGTCTATAAATGGCAATGTCGTTCGATATTTAAGCAGGGTTATCAATTTTATTTCCTATGGGAAAGTCAACGTAAGCTTGTCCATATCTAGATAAACAGATTAAATTGAGCTCTTTTGCTGCACGTAACCTGTACTAAGAAGAAAGCTTATTGAAATATCTGAGTTTTATTTTTTGTCGCTTGCACCTTAAATATGATCACTATCAAAACATTCACTTCCTTAATTAACGTTTAACCTGTATGCCTGCTCAGACTCAAAAAGTCGATGATTTCATTCGCTCTGTTTTGATATCGCGTAATGAGAACAACAGACGCTAGTGACACCTGAGAATCTTCAACCGTCAACAGATTCAAACGCTTAACCTAGAAAGACCTCTCGTATCAGTTTCTTTTTATCATAGCTTGCGTAACTGACAGTTTTGTGTGCGCTGAGCAAAGAGTTATGAAGCTGTGAGCGTTGAAAGGTAAATATTACTTCCAGACCCAAGCCACTTGTGGCCTCGTTCTAACGCTCACAAACCGTAAAGCAACGTAAGCGAGTAAATAATAATTATTAGTTTTTTGCAGTTCCGTGTATTTTTTAAGTAAGATTCTTTCGTATGAGACTATAAACTGGTATTATTTTTTTCTGTGGGCTTTTGGCTGAAATTTGCAAAACTAGTGTCACAAACCCTGTTGGGAAACATCAATAACATATTACATTGCATTGTATTTTGAGTCGAAATGTGTCGTAACACAGTTTTAGATATGATCTCACCTTAACAGAACGCTTTAATGAAGTCAGCTGGTCCTCAACCATCAAAAAGGCTTAAAATCTTTTTATACTTAACAGTTTAAAAATATTCCATTTTTATTTTCAACCGTCAATAAAGCTAACTGATATTAGTCGTTTTAATCTCTAAGATATTCCTCAGTGACTAGCATCTAGTTTCTCCTCACAATATCACCTATCACACATTAAGGTAACGAGATTTGAAAGAAATGATCACCAGCTAAAAAAAGCTCTTTAGTGTTAAACAAATTCTCTCCTTTTCAGCACCACAGGATTTGTACAGAGAACAGTATGGAGAATATTCATAATGATGTTAGGGTGTTAAGGGCTAACTGCACTGAAGATGTATCAAGGTGTGTTGTATATAAACAATCGGCTCAGATATTTGGTCCTGTA